CCCAAATACAGATTGCAGAATCACATCGGTTACACATCCACATTTTTACATAATGCCCTATTAGTAACTGTTGTATTCTGCTACCTTTCCTATCCTCAACTATCCACTTTCTTCTGGTGTGCTGCTATCCTTGCTATCCTTTTGGCACCTTCAACTTAGTTCCTGACTGTTAAAACCCATTATTATACAACTGCATAAATGTCTGGTACATACAGAATCTCTTTCATATATTAAACCTTGATAGAAGAACCTCAACTTTGAGATTGTATAATAATCTGGAAAAAAATTAAAAGACCAAATTGTGTTACAGTAAACTATCTTTCTCTTCAGCTTATACCTATAGGTGGACCATTCAGACAAGATCTCTCTGTTCAAGAGACTACTAGTAAGATCAACACAGCATGGCCTATATCTTAAAGGGCTAGTCACAATACAAAAAATACAGACAAGAGAGGATCACCAAAACCAGGGCTAACAGATAGGAACCTTTAAAACAGACAGACCTGCACATACAGATTTCTTCCATTTACTTTATCTTTGGCAGACCAACTCCAACTGCAAGAGTGCATAATAATCCAGAAAGCTATTCAAAGGTCAGATCATTAACAGTAAAACATTATCTTAGACAGGCTTATACTTATAGGGGGCCCTGCAACTTCCTTTACCTTTGACAGACCAACTTCAATCATAAGATTGTACAAAAAATAAACACAGACAACCAGAGAGAAGCATCCAAACTATGGCTGGCAGATGGGAACCTTTAAACTGACCAGCCAAAATCTTTCCCAAGACACTACCTATTATTAGATCAATGCAGTATTGACCACATCTTAAAATGGGCAGAAACAGATACAAACAAAACAAAAACACAGACAACAGAGGGAATTCCCCAAAACAAGGCCAACAAACAGATTTGAGAACTTAAACCAGAAAGGAGTAAATATCCCTAGGTTCTCAAGTCTTGCTTAACCATGACTCCTACAGCAGTGGCACCACAGAAGTCCCCATAAAGAGGAACCAGATTGTAGACTCAAGGGTCTCCGCATGCACACCAGATGGCCAAGGGTGTCCTGACTTCACTGAGTTCAGTTTCCTTTTTCTAAAAGTGGACTAGGATGGAGCAACCTGTAGCATTTAGGAGTTCCCAGAACCAAAAGGAGCTTCCGCAATTAATGAAAAGGTAGTAAACTCCCTTTACTCACAGCAATAGCTTCTCCAGACCGAGGCAAACTCACCCTATCTCCTAACTCTCTTGCACCAACCCATTAAGTTTCTGAATCACGTTGGGCTAGGGGGTAATCACACTACTGTGATTTCCCCCACGATCTGTGATTTCTTCCCCTCTGCGTGTTAATAGTTGTATGCGGTTTTTCTTCTGCCAGTTCATTCCATCGAACCTTCAGAAGGGGAAGGAGAGTATTCCTTTCGCCCTAAACAGTAATCACCAAGGAACTATAAACTTTAAAATGGTTTATGTTTTGAAAATTTTACCTTAAAAAAATTAGTACGCGCATTCATTTTACAGGCCCCTGCGGAGCAATTCACACTCACCACTTAAACAAGCACGTCCATCGCCTTAGCGGGTTTCAGCTGGGGTTGGCAGCGACCCTCAAGAGGCGGGCCCCTTGGGGGATGTAGGGGTCCGGCGTTACGCCACGGGGGGGCGGGGCTTGGGGCGGGGCGCAGTGGCCTCGAGGAGGCGGTCCAGCGGCGGTCCGCGCCTGTTGCCGTGAGAACCCGTGACAACAAAGGCGCAGGCGGCGGCGACCCGGCGAGCTGAGCCGAGGAGTCCTGCGCTCGCCGCCGGAGACCCGGGTTTTCCCGAGCCGGTCAGTGTACTGTGGGCCGGGCCGGGCCGGGCGGGGCGAGAAAGCGGGGCGCCACCCCGCTCTCGGCGTCTCTGCGTCCCCTCCTCCTGCCCGCGGGGCGGGGCCCACCGTTGGGAAGAGGGGCTGCTAGCCGGGAGTCGGGGCCGCCGCTGGCAGGGGGCGGTTGGTGTGCCGGAAACGACCGGAGTCCTTACTGGGAGCCCGGTGAGCCGCCGGAGATAGAGCGGCGCTTCCGGAGGGTAGTTGGGTGCCCCAGAGGTGGAAAGGCCGGCGGAATGGGGCCAGAGTACGTCTTGGATTTGTATGTCTCACTGCGAGATGTGAGGAGGGTCGGGAAGACCCTTCGTCTTTTTGTCGCAGGCCTCCTTTTCCCGTCGTAGAGATTGAAACTTTGTTTTGTCGCAAAACTCTTTTTTTTTTTTTTCCGTTTTAAGAGGTTGAAACTGAGGCATTCAAGCACTGTGGAAACCCCAAAGCATCCCTCAGTAGAAGGTGATAATGGAAAAAAGAGGGTACCCAGATTCTTTCTTTGAAACACTTCTTAAATAACACCGCCTTCTCTAATTTTAATAAAATCTTCCCCCTTTTTACTTATTTTTGCATTTGAGGCCTTTTATGAGATCCTTATACGATTCACTATCCATCTGCTGGGAGGTTTCTTACGAAAATATTAAAATTAACAAACCACAATTTTTAGACAGCCATTACTTTCTGAGAAACCAAGAGCATTAAGATGGCACTGGTAGTTGGAGACACCCTCATCAGTGACATGGGGGGTCAAATCAATACTGCTCTTGCTTTTGTTCACACATAAAATACCTATTGACCCTAAATATTACTAGCTTATCAGATTGCTTTCTTTTTTTACATCTATAACCAATAATACATATGTATCTGATGACTGTAATCAGAATCTGAAGACATACTACTGGTTTAAACCTTGATTTCTTGACAGTTTACAAGCCTTATATTTATGAACCATTATTATTTTTTAATGATTAGGTGAATTTCAGTTGCCTAGGTGGCCAAATTTGTATATAGATATTCCCATCATAATAGCAAAAAAGTGAAAAAATCCTAGTTACATTTGATTTTTTTATTATTAATTTCATTGAAAGCAGTTAGGTTTGGCTTACCAAAGACCATAATTTTTGTTTTAATTTTTATGTGATGGCATAAAAATTAAAATGATATGTATGATACAGACTTCAGTTGTAGGTGTTCACAGACATTTGAAAGAATCAACTCAGCATCCCTAAAGTCTGGAAAAATTTCCAATGCCAAATGATTTTTGGAGTCCTTCAGGATCCAAGAAGGAATTTACCATACACGGGAGTATTATTTTCTGCTGCAGAATTTCTTTAGAATGATTAAAACTGGCAAGATTGCCATCTCTTTATTTTGGCTGTAAAGGATAGCTTGTTGGCTCTGTTTGGAATTTACAGCCCAAGGGACCTAGTATTGTCATACTCTCAATGGGATCCTAGTAGCATGATGTAAATGGTTTTTGTTGTGATCCTTTTCAAATTGTCTACTTAGAATTATGAATGCATGGTACTGCTGCAGAATTTTTAAATAGGCTAGTGAATATTAAATATGTTGTCATTAACATCTTCATAGCAGCAGTATGTAAAATGTTATTTTGTGTCCAGTAGCCTGCTGGTATAATGATAGTGTTCAAAATACAGCTTTTGCAAAGAATCTAGCCTGATACCCAAATGATTACTTTGCATTATCTGTACTCAAACACTGTCATAGATACTTGTTACATTTTTTAGAGTTTGTATATAGTATATACTTTATCCTATCAAGATTGTGAAAATGGATGTACAAGTTTTTATGCAAATGTGGCAATAGAATTGCCTGTTTTTAACTTTTTGAGGAACTGCTAGTCTGTTAGTCTGTTTTCCAAAACAGCTGTACCATGTTACATTCCCACCAGGAATGTTCCAATTTCTCTACACCCTCACCAATGCTTATTATAATCTTCTTTGTTAATAGTCTTGCTAGTGGTTGTGGAGTTGTATCTCATGATTTTAACTGCATTTCTCTGATAGCTAATGATGTTGAGTGTCTTCTTATGTGCTTTTGGACATTTGTATGTCTTCTTTGATGAACTGCCTTTTCAGATCCTTTGCCCATTTTGAAATGGCTTTTTAAAGTCTTTGAGTTGTAATAGTTCTTATTCACTTATTTACTTATTTTTATTTTATTTGTTCTTTTTAGTTATATATGAGACAGTACAGTATATTTTGACATTTGTATACAAACATAGAGTATATCTTTTTGTAATTAGGATCTCAGTCTTGTGGTTGTACATAATGTGGAGCTTCACTGTGTAATAATTCTTTTTAGGGGGGAGGGGTACTGGGGATTGAACTCTGGGGCACTAGACCATTGAGCCACATCCCAGGCCCTATTTTGTATTTTATTTATAGACAGGGTCTCATTGAGTTGCGAAGCACCTCACTTTTGCTTTGAACTGGTGATCCTCCTGCCTCAGCTGCTGGAATTAACAGGCATGTGCCACTGCGACCACCTGTAATAATTCTTTTTTTTTTTTTAAAGAGAGAGAGAGAGAGAGAGAGAGAGAATTAATATTTATTTTTCAGTTCTTGGCAGACACAACATCTTTGTTTGTATGTGGTGCTGAGGATCGAACCCGGGCTGCACGCATGCCAGGCAAGCGCGCTACCACTTGAGCCACATCCCCAGCCCTGTAATAATTCTTTATATAGTCTAGATGGAAGGTCTCATATTAGATTATGACTTGCAAATGTTTTCTTCTCTTCACTGAGCCACCAGCTGCCTCCTTTCCTTCTTTTTTTTTTTTTCCTTCCTTCTTCCTCCTATTACTAGGGATGGAACCCAGGAATGCTCTACCACTGAGCTATATCTCCAGCCCTTTTTAGATTGAGACACAGTCTCAATAAGTTGCTGAGGAGTGACCTTGAATTTGTGATCCTCCTACCTCAGTCTCCTGAGTAGCTGGAATTACAGGTCTGTGCCTCTGTGCCCAGTGTTTTTTCTCTTTCTTGATGGAGTCCTTTGAGGCACATAGTTTTTAAGTATTTTTTCATTTAAAGTTTGTATATATTTTTTTAAATTGCTTTTGCTTTTTGGTGCTATATCTGAGAAATCATTGCCAAATCCCAGGTCTCGAAGAGTTACTCTGTGTTTACTTTTAAAAATTTTAGATCTGGGGATATAGCTCATTCAGTAGAGTGCTTGCCTCACATGCACAAAAGCCTGGGTTCAATCTGCAGCACAAAAAGAAAAAAAAATTATAGTTGCAGCTGTTAAATAAAAACCTAAAAGTCTGTGATTCATTTTTGGTATTTCATATATATATATGTGTGTGTATATATATATATATATATATTTCATATATATATAAATATATATTTATATAAATTCAATATGTATATATGAATGAATTCCAACTTCATTCTTATACAGAGGATATTCATTATTTGTTGAAAAAAACTGTTATTTCCCCATTGAATTATCTTAGCACCCCATTGAAAATAAGTTTTTGTAAACAAGCCTGTTTATTTATTTATTTATTTATTTTTAAAAATATCTTTATTTTGTTTATTTATAAATATTTTATGTGGTGCTGAGGATTGAACCCAGTGCCTCACAAGTGCAAGGCAGGCGCTCTGCCACTGAGCCCCAGTCACAGCCCCAGTGGGTTTATTTTTGGATTCTTAGTTCAGTTGTGTTGATCTATATGTCCTATGCCAGTAACACATTGTTTTGTTTTTTTATACTTTTATTTTATTTATTTATTTTAATGTGATGCTGAGGATTGAACCCAGTGCCTTCACACCCAGTGCTGGCAAGTGCTCTACCACAGAGCCACAACCCCAGCCCACCACATTGTTTTGATTATTGTTGCTTGGTTTTGAAATTAAGGAAGTGTGAGTTCTACTTTATTGTACTTTTTCAAGATTGTTTTAGCTTCTCTGTGTCCTATGAGTTTCTATAAATTTCAGGATTAGTTTGTCAATTTCTTCAAAGAAGTCAGCTGGCATTTTGATTAAATTGATATGGGGAATGTTCACATCTTAGCACTATTAAGCCTTCCAGTCCATAAAGGTAGGACTTTTGTCATTTGTTTAGATCTTCTTTTATATTCTTTTAGCAATACTTTGTAGTTTTCAGGTATATATTTTACATATCTCTTAAGTTTATTCCTAAGTATTTTGTTCTTTTTGATGCTAATTATGAATAAAATTGTTTTCTTAATTTTCAGGATGTTTATTGTCAAGTTTAGTTGCCAGTTTATTATTTATTTATTTATTTATTTTTTAGCAGGGATTGAGCCCGGGAAACCTTAACCACTAAGCCCTATCTCCAGTCCTTTTTATTTTTTATTTTGAGATAGAGTCTCATTAAGTTGCTCAGGACCTTGCTAAGTTTCTGAGGCTGGTTTTGAACTTGTGATCCCCCTCAGCCTTCTAAGTTTCTGAGATTATAGGCATGTGCCACTGTTCCTGGCATCAGTTCAATTTTGTTTTGTTTTTTGTGATAATGGGGATTGAACCCAGGGATGCTATATTCCTTAGCTATATCCACAGCCCTTTCTAATTTTTATTTTGAGACACAGGGTCTCACTAAGTTGCCCTGGCTGGCCCTTAACTTGAGATCCTTCAGCCTCAGCCTCCTGAGTAGCTTGAAATAAAAACACTAGTTTAAAATTTTTAATTTTTAAATAAGAATTTTTAAAAAATTGTTTTACTTGTTGATGGATCTTTATATGTGGTACTGAGATTTGAACCCAGTGCCTCATACATGCTAGGTAAGCACTTTGCCACTGAGCTACAGCTCCAGCCCTTAAAAAGGAATTCTTGAAACTGTTTTCATGGATTTACTTCTGATATTTCTGGAAAAGAGGAGATACTATTTTTATAGCTAGCTACAAAATCTAATACAAATGTTTACTTTTCTCATGTGTATTTTTACATATTATTTTTCTTTTCTAACTCTGACTATTCAATATTTAGATTAATGAACAGGGAAACATTACCATTATAGAAATAAAGGCACAGTGGAATTCCATTTACCTAATGGTTAGTTTCATAATTTACCAACTCATGGCCTCTGCCTGCTTGAATATTTTGAAGCAAATTCAGGCATCATATAATTTTATCAGTAAATTAATGATGTACTTTCCAAGACACATTTACTATCTGTAACTATTTTCAACTAAAAAAGAATCTGCTTTAATTGACTTTACTTTAAATTGTGGGTAGTTTTATTAAGGTAAGCAGAGTCAATAACTTGTCTTTTGTTTTGATACACAGGAGTCCAGATCTTACGTAAAATGGATGTTTCTCACACTAGATACTGAACTTTAATAACCTATTTAGTAAAATCTAAGCGGCCATGGAAGAAATACCAGTAAAAGTTGCTGTAAGAATTAGACCTCTACTTTGCAAAGAAGTTCTTCATAATCATCAAGTTTGTGTGAGAGTTATTCCAAATACCCAGCAAATTATCATTGGGAGAGATAGAGTCTTTACTTTTGATTTTGTTTTTGGCAAAAATTCCACTCAAGATGAAGTTTATAATACTTGTATAAAGCCCCTAGTATTATCACTTATTGAGGGGTATAATGCAACGGTTTTTGCCTATGGACAAACTGGATCTGGGAAGACATACACCATTGGAGGAGGCCATGTTGGTAAGATATTCATATTCTTTGGCTTTTATTTGAGAAAATAGAAAAAAGTGAAAATATGACAAAATCTGACACACAGTAGATGTGTGATTGAATGTTGATTGAATAATGAAAGAATAAATAGTATAATCAAATGTGATCATAAGATTATTATATTTGACAGATTAAATTTTAAATATTAAAATTCCATTAAATAATCTAACTTATGATGATATTTTCTTGAGGAAAGATGTTCAAGACAATGTTTAGTGCTAAGCCCTTGTTATTTTGAACAAAGTTTAATATAGAGATAAATAAGTTGATATGATCAGATTTTGTATTCTTTAATAAACCGTTTAGAAATATTAAGAGTCCTACAACTAGGAGTTAGGGGCAGGAAGAAAAAAATTTTTAAAAAACTTTTTTTAAATTAATTTTTTTAGTTGTAGATGGACATAATACCTTTGTTTATGTGGGTGGTACTGGGGATGGAACCCAGAGTCTCACACATGCTAGGTAAGCACTCGACCACTGAGCCACAACCCTAGCCCAGAAAAATTTATTTTGTAGTTTCAAGTGTATTTTAGAATATAATTTCTTCTAATTGTAATAATAGTGTAGAAGAGGTAGAATCATGGGATTTCTTATAGACTTGGTGGGACCCTGGAAATCATTTCTCTTCACTGAAACATGAGGAGCTCCAGCCAAGGAAATGAATTCTTTAGTTACGTGATTGGTAATGGAATGGGGATTGAAAGCCAACTCCTCTCTTGAGATTGTTTATAAGCTTTTTTTTTTTTTTCTTTTATGGTAAGAAAGTCTTTATTTAGGCTGGGCATGGTAGTGTATACCTCTAATCCTAGTGATTTGGGGTCTGAGGCAGGAGAATTCAGAGTTTAAGACTAGCCTCAGCAATTTAGCAAAGTCCTAAGCAATTTCATGAGATCATAAGCAACTTAGTGAGACCCTGTCTCAAAATTAAAAATAGAAAGGGCTGGGAATGGAGCTCAGTGGTAAAGCCCCCCTGGGTTTAATCCCCAGTACTAAAAAGAAAGCAAAAAAAAGTCTTTATTCAGGATTGGTGTGATGAATGTAGAGACCACTGCAATGGGATTTTTGCAGTGAGGGAAAAAGATTGTCTTGATTCCAAATACAGTATTGATTGTAAGTGGGAATTTATAGCCAAGGAACAAGGTGGGGCTGATAGAAAATTACTATGAGGTAACATCAAGAGTAAGAGAAATTCTGGCTAAAATCAACTAATAGGATTCTTGCCCAAGACAGGCCAGTGTGATTAGATATCTCCTGGGAGATGGTAGAGGATTAGGAACCATATCAGATATTGAGAGTGGAGGATTCTTCTATTTTAGTCCAGCTTTTTTTTTTTTTTGCCACTGTGATCAAAAGACCTGACAAGAATAATGTAGAGGAGAAAAGTTTATTGGTGACTCATGGCTTCAGAGGTCTCAGTCCATGGATGGCCAACTCTGTTGTCCTGGGCCTGAGGTGAGGCAGAACAATATGGTGGAAAGTAGCAACTCGGGACATTGCACAGGAAACAGAGACCTCTGCTCATTGGGGACAAAATATGTACTCCAAAGGCAAGCCCCCAGTGACCTACCTCCCCAGCCACACCCTCCCTTCCCTACAGTTACCACCCAGTTAATCCATTCAAGCGGATCAATACACTGATGAGATTAACCTCTCATAACCTAATTTTTTCCCCTCTAAACTTTCTTGCATTTATCTCACACATGAGTTTTGGTGGACACTTTGTATCTAAACCATAATACTTGCTAAACTGACTTAATACAGTTCTTTTTTTAATATTTATTTTTTAGTTTTAGATGGACACAATATCTTTATTTTGTTTTTATGTGGTGCTGAGAATCTAACCCAGTGCCTCACGCATACTAGGCGAGTGCGCTACCATTTGAGCCACATCCCCATCCCTAATACAGTTCTTAATAATAACTGATTTTTACAAAAAAGTGCACAGATTGCCTAGGAGAATGTTCAGAAACTTGGAGAAAGTTTGGCCAAGTAAAAAAATCTTTGTCACGGTTGTCAAAAAGCTTTAATCAGAAGCTTTTTGTGAACATTACTTCTGAAAGCTGAATGAGCTTGACATTTTAAGAATCTGAGCTTTTTTCACAACAAAGTCTTCAAATCATTTCTAAAAGTTATTTTGTGAAGAAACAAAACCATCTTTTAGGAAATCACATGCCAGAATGACTTCTGTACATTCCTGCCTCCTATTCCTTTATTTCTTAGGCTCTGGCCCCTAATAAATAGCTCATACTCAAACTCCACCTTCACATCTGCTTCCAAGGAACCATACATGCTCTGACACTAAAAAAGCACTTGGAAAACCTGGTTCATTGTTATATAAAGCAAACTTTTGAATATTGTACATATGCATTATTGCCTAAAATTTTAGTGTTCTCTCTATATAGTGGCTCTGTAAATTCTCTTATTTTCATACTTCTCAAATGTAGAATATGTGACTTTCAGAAACTTGTCTCATGGGCTGGGGATGTGGCTCAGCGGTAGAGTGCTCAACTAGTATATATGAGGCCCTGAGTTCTATCCTCAGCACTGCATAAAAATAAATAAATAAAGGTATTGTGTCCAACTACAACTAAAAAATAAATACTTAAAAAAAAACTTGTGGCTCTGAAGAAGTCCTTGTTTCAAAGATTATAGCGAGGGGCCTAAAGTGCCCAGTATCCTTCATTTTTTTTTTTTTTTTAGAGAGAGAGAATTTTTTAATGTTTATTTTTTAGTTTTCAGTGGACATAACATCGTTGTTTGTATGTGGTGCTAAGGATCGAACCTAGGCCGCATGCATGCCAGGCGAGCGCGCTACTGCTTGAGCCACATCCCCAGCCCACCTTCAATTTTTTTAAATTTATTTTTTAGTTATAGGTAGACACAATATCTTTTTTTTTTCATGTGGTGCTAAGGATCGAACCCAGTGCCTCACACATGCCACGCGAGCGCTTTATCTCTTGAGCTACAACCCCAGCCCTAGTATCTTCCAATTTTAAAAAATCTATATATAATTAAATTTTTCTAATGAAAATTGGGTTTCTTTTGAAGATGGTAATTTTTTAAAAATTGGCAAATAGTTTATGATCTTAAAGACCTACTATCAACTTTACACTAATAGTACTTTTGAGATATTCAAAGCCTAGTGATGTAGTTATATTGATTTTTTTTTTTTTTTTTTTTTTTTTGGAATTGTGGGAATTGAACCCAGGGGCACTCAACCACTGAGCCACATCCCCAGCCCTATTTTGTATTTTATTTAGAGACAGAGTCTTAGCACCTTGATTTTGCTGAGCTGGCTTTGAATTCGTGGTCCTCCTGCCTCAGTCTCTTGAGCTGCTGGGATTATAGGCATGCGCCACCATGCCCAGTAGTTATATTGATTTTTATTAAGAGGTCATGAGTATACCCTTTGTATACCCTTTAAACAATATATGCTGTCTAAATGATGGCTGTTGAAGTATCAAACTTGACAGGTTCTCTGATCTAGTCTATTTCAGGAATATAACTACCAACATTGCAAATGTGGTAATTTTTTTTTTTTTATTTTTCCTTATGGTGCAGGGGATTGAACACAGGGCTTCACAAATGCAAAGAAAGTGCTCTACCACTGAGCTATATATAACCCCATCCTTCAAATGTCTTTAAGGGCACCAAAATACATGTTTAAACTTATTATAAGTATTTGACATTTAAGTTTTTAATTGCTGTACCTTGTTACCTGCTGATAAAGGGAATAATTGAGCTGTTTCTGGTCAGTCGAATATTTTGGCTACTCTAGATTGCTTATTTATATTATAGTTTGATAGAATTTAGGTATTTTCTTCTAGAAACTTCTTTCTAGAAGTTTTTGAAAAGGAATTTTTTTCAAAAAAATATATTTTTTAGTTATATTGGACACAATACCTTTATTTTATTTATTTATATGTGATGCTGAAGATCAAACCCAGGGCCTCACACATGGTAGGCAAGCACTCTTACAGCTGAGCCACAACCCCAGCCCTGAAAAAGAATTTTTGTTTTCTTCCTTTTGTAAAAACCTATAGCTTCCTTTACTTGCTACACAATGGCAGCTTTAAATCTTGAATTAGGAAAAAGGCAGCCATTGTAGTTACCCAATAAGTTCTAAGGTTTTAATTCTGCAGATATTTCAACAAAATTGGCACAGGTGCATTAAAGTAGTTTGGAAATAATAATACATATTATTATTAGAGCTTACATATCCTTTATATATTTTTCAAATGTATATATTTTTAAATGATCTGTCATTCACCTATTAATTTTTCTCAAAAGAATAGAACTCTAAAAACATTTATTTTAAAATTTACAGTATTGGTATGTTTGTTCCTCAATTTGAGTTGTCATAGGCATCCCAAATCTGAAACAATGGGATTTAATGAGTTAATAAAGGTTCAGGTTTTTTTAATACTTATTTTTTAGTTGTATGTGGACACAATATCTTTATTTCATTCTTATGTGGTCCTGAGGTTTGAACCCAGTGCCTCATGTGTGCTAGGCGAGAACTCTACCACTGAATCACAACCCCAGCTCCAAAGGTTCAGATTTTTGAGATGAGTGTTGCCCCGAATCTAGTTTGGTAATCTACTTGAAAGCAAGTTTATCTTTATTTTTATTATTTTATTTAGTTTTTGAGACAGGGTCTCATTAAGTTCCTTAGGGCCTCAATAAATTGCTGAGCTAGCCTCAAATTTGTTATTCTCCTACTGTAGCCTCCCAAGTTGCTGGAATTACAAGTCTGTACCACTGGGCTGGGATGTAGCTCAGCGCAAACCACTTGCCTCATATTCTAAAGCCCTAGGTTCGATCTCCAGTTCCAAAAAAGAAAGACAAAATAAGGAACCCCCCC